CTGATCCTGCTCTGACACTTCCTCCAATACCTTTTCTCTAAAAGAATAATTTCATGGACAACGGAAGAAGTAATGCGTGACATTATACCATGTTAAAAATAAGAGTACTGTGGGTCCCACTGCCTAAACACATGGTTGTCTTTAAAAATGTCTTCAGTTTTCAAAGTGCTTTCACTTCCATTATGTCATTGGCTCCTCAAAACAACCCAGTTAGTTGTTGTCGTTTTTCTACTGGGGGTCAGAGGGGCAAGATGACTGTAGGCAGGACTCATGGGCCTGAACCCTGACTCCCATCCCACAGTCCTTTTTGACTGCCCCATGGAGACAGGCTGGATAAAAGGCAGCAGAACAGCATCGTATTCTGTGCCCTGGAAGGATGTCTCATGGGTGGAGCACCCTAGAATACTGGTTTCCTGCCTAGAATGTGTGTTGCCTCCCACTGCGACCATTACAACCACCGTATGACATGGTGGGCAGATTCTGCATGAAGTGACAGCCTAGGCACTGCCCCCCCTCAGGATGAGCCCCCCCCACTCTAGCCATATGGGAATGCACCTTGACCCGACCATGCCCTGCCCTTTTCTGTGTTGTGTCTTTGCAGGATCTCCCATTTGTCTTTGTAAGCTTCAAGTCCACATGCAAACCCAGTGCCCTATCCAGAACATGACTGTTACAGGGCAGAATTCTTCTCTGAATAATAGTCCATTCTTAGGTTCTCACAAATCCTAGAGCTCATGGCAAAAATCACCTGGAACTGCTCTAGTAGCCTCAACTCCTGAAGCATCTTCCCAGCAAACTTCTGTGTGCACGCGTGTGTGCGTGCGTGCGTTTGTGTGTGTGTGCGTGTTGGGGTGCATGTGACTCAGTCCCGTTCCAATCAGGCTGCTTCTTGGGGCTGAAGGGAAAACCCAAAGACATTCTATAAGCGGCTAAATTTCTTGGGCCTGTGAATCCAGTTCCAAACCTGGTTGTAATACTCTATAAACCAGAAGGCCACCTGTGACTTCCAAAGATAGCTTTGCTCTTTTCCCCCCTCTAAAGAGCAGCCGCTGAATGAATACATTAATTTATAGCTACATTTTAAACCCCAAATGGCTGTGGAAGAATCTCCTCATTCCCACAACAGTATATGTGAACAATGTATGACCTATTTCTTAAATCCCTCTAGCTTTCCAAGTCCTATTTCCCTTGATTTAAAAAAGAGAACACACTTTGCAATTGCATTTTTATCACTAATAGCTGGGCTCTGCAGTTTCGACGGTCTCCAAGGCCACACTGCCACCAAGGGCTTGCCCCAGGACGCTGTCTTCCCCCACACCTCCATTCCCTCTTCCTTGGATTTCATATACTTTTTAAGCTACAAGCATCATTTCCATTAATACAGAAGCAAGAGAGGGCCTCTTAAAGGCCTGATGGCACAAACTCATGTTAAAATGGCTCTCCACTCTTAGGGACCTAACATTGTCATGGTCATCTACTTCAGTGGATTTTCTAGCAGCAGATGGTTTTGTACCTGGTAATGGCCATTTTTCATCCAATTTTTTTTTTTTCCTGTACCTCTGCCTAAAATCTTTCCCTCCCTCTCTTCTCTGCTAAAAGGTACATGAATATATACATATCTAGAATAGTGGATGGGGCTTAGTTTCTGGAAAAGGAAGGGAAGGACTTGAGTTTTCTCTAAGCACGTTGGCCACCAGCTACCATCGACTGAGTACTGTTCTAAGTACTTAACAGGTTCTGGTCATGGATCCATTCAGCACTAAGGTAGTGTCCCCGCTCCAGAGTGGCTCAGCCTGCTCTGGGTGACACTGTACAATGCGCTTGACAAGCATCATCTCCAGAACTTGCTGGCTGAGAAATCCCACTGCTAGAACGAGGCTCTCGTGCTGATTAAATGGTATCTAAGCCACTGCTTTCTGTTTTTACCTCTTATTGCCCCAACTAAGTGTGCCCCTCCCAGATGTTCCTTCCTCAGCACTCCCTCATGACAGCGATAACACCAGCCAACAATCGCCACGGTCCCGTGCTTCAGCATGCTCGCATTTCACCGATGAGGGGTCTTCACAGCAAAATCGAGTACTTCACCTAAGGTTGCACAGTGAGCGAGGGTCAAAGTTGGAAATTAACCGGGGGCGGGGAGGGGGGCAATGGATGGAGCTGCTTCTTAACTCTCATGTTACATTTTCAGTAGGGACTCAGAAGAAAGGTAACTCTCTTAGCTAGAAATCTGCTCATTTTAAGGGGCCAGCATTTGGTGTGGCAGATAAGATGTTGGACTCCCACATGGTCGACTGTGATTGGAGTCCTGGACCCAGTGGCTTAAAAAATCACACCAGGTGTGTGTATGTGTGTGTGCCTAAAATCCCAAGAGGTAAATGGAGAAGGGATTGTGCCATGGCATTCCTCCTGGGTGTGGGGGGATATTTCTCACTTTCTTTCCTCCCACCTCTCTCTCTCTCTCCAGCGAGTGCACGTGCCCTATGACAAAATTCTTAAAAAAAAGAAAAAAAGAAAAAAAAAGAGAGAAAGAAATCTGATCATTCTGCAATTTCATTCTGTAATTTACCAATGGTAGCAGTGTTCTTTTTCTTCTTCCTGAGGGAAGCTCTGGGGTATCCTCTGCTGGAGGCTGACATCCAGGCCTGCCAACCGTGGCTTTTGCTAAGTCCTTACCCTTCAGTTTTGTTATCTGTAATATGGAGGTGAGAGTCGACGCTAACTCTTCATACGTGTGCTTTGGAGAAGCAGTCTCAGCCATGTGAGCAATGCTGGCTCTGTTATCGAGCTGCTGTGGCTGTCAGGTCAACTGAAAACCAGGCAGCAAAAAAAGTGACCAGTGTGAGTCAGAGTGTTTAAAAAGACAAGCCAGCCTCTAACATTCAGCACTGGAACACCTTCCTTCCACATAACGCCCAGCCACAACTACAGCCAGGCCTTCGATCAGGAGAGACCGCTGCACTTAGGTCATGGGCCTGGAGGGCCACGGGGCTGGCCGTGCACGTGGGCAACTCCTTCACGGAGAAAACCTGCTAATATCTCTGCTCACAGACATAACCTCATGTGCCTGACGCACAGCCTCTGCAGCTTTCCAAGGGCTGGGGTACTGCTCTGTGCTCCCAGAAAGGTGACCTCCGGGGCATCTGCCCATCCAAGGGGCAGGCTAAAGAGGGATTGCATCAGGAAGTCGGATGGGCAGGCTGCTGGGATTCAGAGGACGTGGGCACTTCTCGCCAGAGTTCACTGAGAGACTAGAGTGGACGGAGCCTCAGAAACACCAAGGAACCCAAGCCCTCCTGTTGCCAGCTCCACTTTGCCAGGTTCCCCTTGTCTGCCTTAGCAACCAGTGGACACAGAGGCCCAGGGCTGGCCTCTAGGCCGGAGGTCCTTGAGAAGAGGTGGGAGGTGGCAGGAGGCAGGCGGCAGGCTGTCTGACTATCCCCCCCTCCTGTCCTCATTTCCTACTTCTGAGTCCTCCTGCCCTGGCCAAGGGGGAGTGGACTCTCCCTGGCTTGGAAGTCATGTGTGGGAAGTGAAACTCTCCATCACTAAGGAAGGGGGACCAAGGGTGCCAGGAAAGCATTCCCCCAAAGATGGGGCAACTCCCATTACCACCTTCCGCAGCCAGTCATCTATCCAGGAGCAGGGCTGAGAAATCTCACTGCTGTAACTGCCTTCCTCTCAGAGGTGGGCTTCTAGGCCAGGGAGTATTTATTTAAGAAAGCACTTGAGGGGCCAGCAGTTGGCGTAATGGCTATGTTGCTGGATTCCCGTGTAGTCGACTGCAGTTTGAGTCCCAGACCTGGTGGCTTAAACTTACACCAGGCGCATGTGCGTGTGTGCCCAAGATCCTGAGATGAGAATGGAGGAGAGGAGATTGTGGCGTGGCCATCCCCTCTGGGAGGTGTCTTTCTGGTGAGCACATGTGCCCTATAGCAAAACCTTCTCAAAAAAAAAAAAAAAAAAAAAAAAAAAAAAAGGCATTTAAATGTTCCAGGCCTGGGACCAGCAAGTGGTGAGGTGGTTAAGGTGCTAGACTTCCCACATGACCGACTGCAGTTTGAATCCTGGACCTGGTGGCTTGCTTTCCCACCACTTTCCCTCTTTTCTCTCTGTCTCTCTCTCACTCTGTCTGTCTGGTCAAATTAAAATAAATGAATGAATAAATAAAACTGAATAAATAATTCCCCCCCCCCCAAAAAAAAGAGCACTTGAATGTGCCAGGCCTGTCCAGGGCACACTTTCATCAAGGGAAGATGAGTCTAAAGGGCTGACTGCTCTGAAAAGAAAACACTGGCCAGTCAACAGTGCTCTGGGACATGGAGTGAGAGTTTCCAAAAACCAGGCCTGCTCCTTTTCTAAAATCCTATCACCTCACACTGAATGCTATGCAAATCCATAAATGGCATCTGGGTATACTTTTCTTCTTGTTTTATTGCAGGAGAACAGGTTTCTTTTTTCTTATTAGGAAAATTATTTTTTGGAAAAAAGGATCGATCTCTATGAACACATATCTTGCTCTTTCTAGGTATATTACAGGAAATAAGTGAAGTTTAGAAAGGTCTCTCATTTCACCAGGGCTGCTTGCTGACAGAATCCAGAGGGGCAGCACCTGCAGGAGGGACAAGCACAGGCCTGGGGCCAGTAGACTGGGTTTCAGGCCAAGCCCCTCAGGGAAGGGCTGGGAAGTCATGGCTGACAGCCAGCCTCACAAGGCTACTTAACCCTCTGGTCCCCTACCTTCTTATTCTGCCTGCACTAAATGTCCAGGATAA